CCTTGTGCCACCAGGGAGGCCCTCAACTTTTCTTTTAAGAAGCTGTGGGTATGGCAAGGATACAGGGTTATGGTTAGCCCTTTGCCCTTAGGTGAGACACTCAAACGTTAGGAACCTCGATGACTTCTTTGAAAAGTAGAAATAATTAGACATCTTTTATCTATTTCATAGGATCGTTATGAAAATAAAATATTATAAACTATAGAGCATTACACAATGTGAAACAACTAGCACAATCCTGCCATCAACAGTGGTGAAACAGAAGCTGTGAAGTATTCAATACCAAAATGGCCTAGGCAGATGCACTGTTGAGAACTACAGTCTAAGTCTGGAGCCCTGGGGCAGCCGATGGGGTTTACTGAGATGGCCCATCAGAAAAATCATCAAGTCTACTGTCCAGATGTCCTGAGGGCAGAAGTGGGGGACCCTTTGAAGAGACTGCAGAGTTCCTGAGGAGAGTCTAGCCGATCTTTTCACCAACCAAGGAAGAGGAGCAACGGTACTTCCTTTTCCTGAAGAGCAGGGAGGGTCGCCCAACAAGTGTGTGTGAACATGCATGAATATGTGTGTGTGTGCAGTGTGTGCATGCCTGTATATGTGCAAGCTTGTGTATGTGCAAACACATGAACACATCCTGTTCTGCTCCACTGACTCAAGGATGTGTAAGTGTCTCTACTGTGAAGTTACCAGTGCTGGAACTAGCAGATCCTGCTGACATCTCATATGGAACAAGGGGTGGGAAAGGGATGAAGGAGCTAAAAAGAACAGATGGTCTTTAAAAAAAAAAAGTTTGCCCTAAGCTAAAATTCTTAACTGAAAGACATTTTTTCCTTTTTAAAAAAAAACCCTTTTATTGTAAAATATAGCACACAGAAAAATTTAAAAGGGTGCAATTTAGTGTGCAAGATATTATTTGTGTACCTACCAATAAGGTCAATAAATAAAACATTGCCAACACCCCAGTAGTCTTCAACTTGTGTCTTTTCACAATCAGAAAACCTTCCCTCTCCCCAAAGGTAACCACAACTTGACATTTATAATAATCATATCATTGCTGTTTTTCCTTTGTAAATTTTTTTCATCTAAGCATACACCCCAAAGCACTACAGTTTAGAATCACTCATTTGGGGACTTCATGTAAATGAATAATATGGAATCATACAGTATGAATATAAAATATGGAATCATACAGTATGAATATGCATCAATTTGTCCATTCTGTTGATGGACATTTGGTTGGTTTCCAGCTCAAGGCTGTTATTAACATGCTGCTATGAATATAGTTATACACAATTCCCTGTGTGTGTGTGTGTGTGTGTGTGCATTTCTTTAGAGTGTATACCTGAAATGAGTATATGAATCCTCAACTTGATTATAGAATGTTTTCCAAGTGAATTCCCAATACACATTTTCAACAGCAGTTTAGGAAACTTCTTTTTTTTTTTTTTTTAATGGGACCCTCGCCAGTGGCCAGGGATTGAACCGGCGCTGCAGAGGCTGCAGGCAGCCTCACAACCCAACGCTCAACCGCTGCGCCACCAGGGGAGGCCCAGTTTAGGAAACTTCTTGATCCACATCTAAAATGAAAATTCTTCACTTTGAGATAATGCACTTCTGTACAGCCAAAACATGGAAACCACCTACATGTCCTTCAATCAGTGACTGGATAAGGAAGATGTGGTAAATACAATCAGTGAAATACTACTCAACTATTATTTTTGGTTTGTTTTTTGTTTTTTTCTAAGGATTTATTTATTCATGCATACAAGAACCGGGGTACAGGCCAGATGTGCGGGAGGGTGAGAAGATTCACCAGAGACAGAGTGGGGAACAGAACAGGCAGATTGACTGAAATACACTGCTGAGGGGAGCAGCGGGCGAGACAGGAGAGGTCTGCCGTACCATGTGGGATCCTTTCTGGCGAGCCAGGATAGAACCCAGGAGGCAGAGGCTGCGGACAGCTTCACAGCACTATGCTCAACCGCCTGCGCCACCAGGGGAGGCCCCTACTCAATTATTAAAAAAAGAAAGGATGAAATCTTACTTTTTGCAACAAGATGGATATAACTTGAGGTGATCATGCTTAGTGAAATAAGTCAGAAAATAAAAAACAATTTCTAGATGGCTTCATTTACATATAGAATCTAAACAAAGCAAAGAAACTGAAAAATTACAATAAAAACAACTCTTAGACCCCCAGAAAAATATGGTGGTTACCAGCGAGGAAGAGATAGGGGTGGGAAGAATGGATAGAGGGGATCAATTTGATAATTATAATAGAACTATGGTGGTGCCATGTGATATACAAGGCGGGATGCTATTGATACATTCCCAAAGCTTGTATTATAAATCAATGGTGAATCAATAAAAATTATATTTGAAAAATGGTATTATTTTTAAATAATGAGATAATGTACTTTTAACAGGTTGCCTTTTTGGAATAACTTCACATGCAACATTAAGAGCTGTTAATTACAATTAGGCCCTACTTTTTCTCCCTGAAATTCTACTAGACCATAATAGCTCAAATGCTGAATATCCTTATCCCACATGATATAAATTGTCCTTTCTTGTCTTTTTTAAACATCAAAATCACTTGATAAATCTAATAGCCAGTCTTTAAGATGGCCCCCATGAAGTTCCTCTTTTGGTATTTTTGCCTTTGTGTATCCTTCCCATGCTGAATAAGAGTTGATTTCGTCACCAGTAGGAGTGTCATAAGCCAGGTGATAAAGGACATGGCTGCTCCAGCATTAGCCTTTTGGATCAATCACTTTAAGGGAAAATTAGTCACCATGTGGGGTTGCTCAAGCAGTCCTGGGGACAGACCGACATAGAAAAGAACCTATTTTCCAATACCACCTTGCTAATGAAATGAATGGCTCATTTTGGACAACGATCCTTCAACCTTAGTCAAATTGTCAGATGATTTCAATCCTCCAACCTTTGAGTTTTCCAGTATTAAGACCCCAGAAATCATTAAACAGAGACAGTTCATATCCCTGTGCCCTGTTCTAATTCCTGACCCAAAGAAACCATGAGATAATATATAATTATTGATGTTTTAAGCCACCAGGTTTGGGGGATGATTTGTTACAAGCAAGAGATGACACAACACAAATGACCACCTAAGAAGTATCGTTGCCAGAAATTTGAACCTGAGTCTTATAATACCTCTAATTTAACTACAGTTTGGAAGAAGTAGAGGTGATAGAGGAACATATTAAACAAATACACTGCAGAGATGCAATTAGCAAAATCCAGAAGGTAGGAAATTCTATAGCACAATATGACCCAATTTCTTCAATTAGTAAATTGGAAAAATAGGGAGAGGAACCAATAAATTAAAGGATACTTATGGAGTATGATAGATTTTATTATTCCCAATATTGGCTGTCCTCTCCTGAGAATTACTCTCCCTTTCTCTCTACTGACATTAGCTTTGACCATGTGATTTGCTTTGACCAATGTAATGTGAGCAGATGTAAAAGTTGTTACTTCTGAGCAGAAGTTTTAAAAGACATTGTATGTTTCAAGCATTTATCATTTCCATCTGGCAGGAAGTGGGCATATCCCAAAAGAGACTGTTCCCTCAGGCCATGGCCAGTGATGAAGAAGAAGCAAAACGGGGGCCTCCCTGGTGGTGCAAGGAGTTAAACATCAGTACTATGAAGCAATCTGTAGCCACTGCTACATGAGTTCGATCCCTGGCCAGGGAAGTGACCCACATGGCGCAGCAGACCTCTCCTGCTGCTCCCGCTGCTCCCCTCAGCAGTGTATTTCAGTCAGTCTGCCTGTTCTGTTCCCCACTCTGTCGCTGGTGAATCCTCTCATGCTCCCCACCCCACCACCCCGCACCTCTGGCCTGTGCCCCAGTTCTTGTATGTGTAAATAAACAAATCTTTTAAAAAAAATAAAAGAAGATGCAAAACTGACTCACAATGGAAAATCAGGTGAGCAAAAATCAACTGGAGTCACTGTAAGCCACTGTGACTTTGGAGTTGTCTGCTACCACATCATAACCATGTGTAATCTGATTCATAGAAGAAATGTCTAAATGAAATACGACCCATAAACCTTGTTAGGATTCAATTTATGAAACTGTTGTAGAAATATGCATAGGGGCTGGATATTTATTGAAGATTAAGACTAGCTATTTATTTTTTAGGTGTATTGATGGTATTGACGCTACGTTTGTTTGTTTATTTATTTATTTATTTATTTTAAAGATTTATTTATTTATATAAGCACTGGGTACAGTCAGAAGTGCGGAGGGTGAGAGAATTCACCAGAGCCAGAGCGGGGAGCAGAGCAGGCAGAAGGACCGAAGTACACTGCTGAGGGGAGCAGCAGGCGGCAGGAGAGGTCTGCGCGCCTTGTGGGACCCTCGCCGGTGGCCGGGGATCAAACCAATAATCAAACTGGCGCTGCAGAGGCTGCAGGCAGCTTCGCAACCCAGCGCCCAACCGCTGCGCCACTGGGGAGGCCCATTGCCGCTATGTTTAAAACAACAAAAAGAATTCTTATACTTTAGACAGGTGGCCCAGGGGAAGGGAGAGTAGGTGAGGAATATAGATTAGTCATGAGTTGACAATTGTTTATCTGGGCAGTGAGTTCATAGCAGTTTATCAAACTATTTTTTACTTTTGTTTATGCTTGGAAAGTTCCATAATAAAATGTTAAAAAAAATAGTTTGTTGACTTGAGTTTTGAGTTGTCCCTGACTCCCAAATGGGTACAGAAATAGAGATTGGGAGCTGACCAATAAAGTTTAATAAGTGTGAGTACACAAAGGAGGTGTTTGGATCAGGTCTCTGGAAGAAGACATCAAAATTGATTATTTTCAGTGAAAACAGTTTTTTGTTTTCAGCAGTGTTCTATCAGGTCAGAGCAGTACTGGTTCAGGGAAAGAATCAGTACTGCAGAGCTGTGGGGAACTCTGGAGGGGTCAGCCTGCACTCCAAGTGAGGAGGGGAGGGGTGTGATTCAAGTAGAACTATTATTCCTTCTCTGCCTATTGTCTAAAATCAAATGTAGTATCTGTTCTCACCATTTAAAGCATGTGCTATGTTGTGTATCTGTGGACTGGGCATTAAATTAGAGTTAGAAGCTAGCTTGAAGCTTGCTTTATCCACCCCATGTCTCAGCCTGGAATTACATTACTTCCAGGAATGGTGCATTCCTTTTGAGTTAGTGATAAATTATTTTCTATTGTTCCTCTTGTCTCCCACAGAGTGCTCTAATTCACTCTTAATGAGTCTCCAGACTGCATTTCCACCAATTGCACTGCAAGGATAGAGTTTCCTGTAAGTGGAGTAAACAAAGTAGGTGAGCTAGGGCCATGTTGGTAGTACCACATCTGAAAGGGTGTTGGATAAGAGGTCCACCTAGTTTGGGGGAGACCTGGGCTAAGGAAGAAGGGGCTCAGCCCAAGTCAGACTCCCATGTCAAGTGACTGTATGCCCAGACCTGTGACCCAGGGACAGCCTAGAAGTAGAGGAAGAGCTGTTTGCTTTAGAGGCAGCGGCCACCTCCATGGTAGCACCCATTGTCCCCTGTCCAGAGGAGTCAAGTAACTTTTGGTTTTGAGATTGAAGCTCACAAATGAATAGGGTTGAGCATTAGAAATGGGCCAAGGGTGATGGTGCATGGGTGCCTTGGGGAAGGAAATTCTATGGGGTGGCGGGAAACAAATATTGTAAAAAAAAAAAAAAAAAAAGAGTAAAAAATGATATATGTTAAAATTAAAAAAATAATAATTAAAAAAACAACACATTCAAAGCTAAAAAATAAAATGGTCCTAGGAGATTAGGGAATTATGTGGAGATTCATTAAGTTATGAATGAAGACCACTGCTCAGCATAAAGCAGGGGTTCTGCCAGAGGAGACTGAGAGCAATTAAATAGTTTACACCCCAATGAATTGTGTGTATCAATAATCATGGGGTTCCTTCATTTCCCCAATAACACTGTAAGAAGCCAGAACAATAAGGATCATTTCATTTTGGGAATGTGATGCACGGCATGGTGACTATAGTTAGTACTTCTGTAGTGCATATTTGAAAGTGGCTAAAAGAGTCTATTTTAAGTCTTCAACACAAGAAAAAAAGTTGTAGCAATGTACAGGACAGATGTTAACTAAACTTACTGTGAGGATCACTTCAATATAAACAAACATCGAATCATTGTGTTATACACCTGAAACTAATATGTTAGTATGTTACTAAGATAATATCTTATATGACAATCATACCTCAATAAAAACAGATAATGTTTTTTGGAAAAAGTACAAGATTTAAAAAATAAGTTGAAAAACAGAAAAAGAAAAAACCTAGTTCAGATTTTTAGTGATACACAATCCACTTCAGACTCTCTAAAGCCTGTCTTTGACAACTGCCCTTTCTTAATCTTTCCTCCCTTCTGCCTTCTCTCCCTGATCCTGCAGAAATTCAATGACCTCCTGCTGCCCCCTGTGTAATTAAGCAGAGCTAAACTTATATACCATCAAGGACACTGAAAATAAATATCTATATTTTCTTTTAATATTTTGCCTACTGTGACCTACTTTTAGTTCAATTTCAAAAGCAAGGGGGTGAAGTGTTGTCCTAAATAAACATGCCAACGAACTCTGTTCCACGGTTTTGGCCACATAGCTTTGTACCACAAACCAAATATTAAAACCAAATGTACCACAAAGCAAAGGTTAAAAAATTCGTCCATGGAAATACATTTGATATTTAAGTTCCAAAATTGCACGTGCTTCACCAAAAGTCTATTGCTTTGAGGGTTATTTCCCACTGATAGCCCTGGTATTAAGGAGCTTTTGTTCGCGTCACCTCTGATGTTCCTGAGTCACATGTAGAATCACTTCCAAACCACCCATGCGTCTGAAAACACATTTTTCAGCTATTATAAAATCAAGAGCTGTGATGCTTCCTTGCAAAGAGAGCATTTTATCAGCTGATGTTATTTTAATTATTCATTTTTAATGAGGAATCTATGAATGTCTTCAAAAATCAGAGTCAATAGGTAGACTGTCACTAAAAAAGAAAAACCAGTTACGGTCTGTGGATTTCAACGACACAAAGCAATTATTGTCATAATTTAAATTCTCCAGCTTAGACAGCAAGTCATATATGTGTGCTTTACAAGCAAGTTCTGCTATTCACCCTAGGAGCTGTTAATTAACACTTTGAAGTACTCTAATGGGGAATACACCCTCCAGGGGGTGGTTTGTTAGCACTGAAGAGCCCTAATCAGGACCTTGGACTTGGAATCTGTGGTATTACAGCTCCTTCATCAATTTGTTTCTGCATCTACACTAGAAGGTTTATTCCTTGGCATAAAATATGTTTGGTATAACTTTTTATGCATGAAATGTATGGTTTTTTCGAGGTATGTGTACTGCACAAGCACCTTACCCTTAAATGAATGGGATATAAGTTTGGTGATAAGTTCAGAATGGTGCTATCAGCATTGGGGTCTGTTTATTCCTATGCTTGTCACTTAGTGTAGGATTCTGTCACTTGATCCAGTGAGAGACGTGGCTGGATCCTGTTCTAGGAGAATAGGTTGGAGAAAACAGGAGTTTCTGGTCACAAGCCGGGAGCTCAGAGAGTTTATAGGGACAATTTGGTTGGAAGTTGATTTTCATGTACCTCACCACCTGGTGTCCCTGTGAATGGAAGGGAGGCTAAGGTTCTAAGGTGACCTTGGCCTGGGTCCCACCACGACACTGACAATCGTAAACCATCACTGTGGCTTAAGCCACTTAATGACATTTGGCTCGGAAATAGTTACCAAGAAATATATTTAATGAAAGAACATAGGGCCAAGTAAGAAAAACAATCTATATACAATGACAAAGATTTGAGGAAGATTCATAGAGAAATGTGGTTTTGTCTATATAATAATATCAAAAGTTTATAGTGCTCAGGCATTCTTTTTAAGCACTCTATCTATATGTGAATATACAAATACATTTAATATTTGCTACAATTTTCTCAAGAGATACTAGTTTTCATATATGGAACCCTAATTCATTGACAAAGAAACTGAGACTCAGAGTGTGACTTGTCCTAGATCATACAGATCAAGTAAGCAGGGAAGTAGTTTGACTCCAGGATTCAGGCTCCTACTGTTGAAAGATTCTAGACTTTCCTTTCTGAAAAAGAGAGTAGTCTGTGACAAGGAAATACAGGAGTTTATAGAGTTAAAAAGAAACAAAACGGGACTTGCTGTAAGAGCCCAGGGGGGAAAAAAAGGAATTCTGAGATTTTCCTTGGCTGAAGAAAAGGCCCTTACCAACAAGAGATTTTTCTGTCAAGCATCATTTGGGCAACAGGGCTTCTGTGATGAATTAAAAATAAAGACCTGTCACTTGGTTGATGATGTGTGTAACAGTTTTCCTAGACGCAACAAAGCTGTCGAGTATTAGAAGACTTTGAAGAGAAACACAGGCAGCAGACAAGCCACCTCTCTCTTTTCCATGTTTGACTTTCTTCATTTTATAATCTCCCTAGGCCATCCTATACTGGAACAACCAATCACACATCTGAGGTTCCTGATCTAAGCCACAGCAAAACATTCCTTTGTGAAGTCATGTTGTCCTCTGCTCTTTTCAGTCCTCAGCTGGGACAGGAGTTGGGATAATCTGACTAGCAGTTACTTGTTCAATGCTTTCACTGCAGCTATGATAAATATGATCTTGCATCTTGCTTTTGCAATTTCCTCTCTGGGTGTGGTTCTTAGAGGGGACGGAAACCACCAGCCTATAGACAGGATTCTATAGATATCTGTTTATTCACTTTAATTCCTCATGCATAACTTTGCCCATATGCTGTGTAAGTGAAAGTTTGGAGATCCATCCAGGACCTTTCTCCATTTCTTGCTCACCAAACAACCAGGTGCACATCTCAGCAGTTCTTTTCTCTTGGTTTAGCTCTGTGTATACCCAGGATCCTGTAGGAAGCTGATCCTGAGTGCAGCAGACCAACATAAATGGTTCTGGGGGCTGCCACATCCCCATGTTTTAAGGTTATAGGATTTTTCAGGTTCTTGTATCTGTTACTTATGTGGCAGGTTGCTAATACTTTCTTTTTTTAATTTCCAATGTTTTATTTGTCAGATTGCTTTTATATAAAAATATAGAAATAATGCACTCATCAAACTTGCCTTGAGTACTATGAAACTGAACACAGTGCTAGAAATTCAAGAAGAATAAGGTATGGACCCTGGGCATCCCTGCTGGCTCAGGGGTTAAAGACAGTGCTATCAAGCTGTTGCTAGTCACTGCAGCATGAGTTCAATCCCCAGCCTGCCAGGGAGCTGCCCCACATGGCTCCGCAGACATCTCCTGACTCACCCACTCTTCCCCTCAGCAGTGAATCAGTAGATTTGCCTGTTCTGCTCCCCACTCTGTCTCTGATGAATCCTCTTCCCCCACTGCATCTCTGGCCTGTACCCCAGTTCTTGTATGCATAAATAAATAAATTTTTAAAAAAGATATGGACCCTGCTGATTTGTTAGAACTGTTTTGATTGCAGGTGGTAGGAATCCAACTTAAACTAGTTTGAACAAAAAGGGAAACTTCTTGACTGATGTAACTGAAACGCCCAAGTGTAAATTTCAGACATGGCTGGAACAAGGGGGCTCAGATTAGTTCATGGAGACTCCCATTTCTCTTTTCATTGCTGCTCATCTTTGCCTCTCTGTGTGTTGACCTAATTTTCTCTTACTAAAGATAGCTTCCTCCAATACCACCTGAACAAATGGCTATAAGAAGTTCCAAGCAAGATTATCCTTACAACTTAAAATAGCTGAGGAATAGAGACCCTTCCAAATCCATATATTAAAAATCAATAAAAATTCTGATTAGTCATGCCCATTTGACTGGCCACCCTGGCAAGGGAATGTCATATTCAGATTGGCCAGGCTTAGGTTACCTAATTGCCTCTCAGTTGAGGAATGTACAACATGAAATATGTTTTCCATACAGAGAAAGGGGTGATGGATAGACAAGAAAGAACAGGGGTAGCCAGCCTCAAGGGTGGTCGCAAAGGAGTTTCACTTTTTGGTATTTATATTGTTGTGTAATGTTCTCCTACACTCTATCACAATTGGGCTTAGTGACCAGTAGAATCCTGCAGAAGGGAGGTGTGTGACCTGATTAGGTCATGAGCGACAT